AGATTATGATTTTTGCCATAATCGAGCAGCCCTAAGTCAAGTCATAGAAAATTCTGATGAATAAGCCCAGTTTCCGCATCAGTTAAAAGACAGTGGTTATGAAAATGGATTAAACCCACACTATGATCTTCATTACATACACAGTTAATCATTTGAAACCTAATTTAGACCGATGACAATCATATTAGATTCATATTAACCCCAGAACTGCAGACAATATAGCTAGGACTCAAAAAGTCTGTTCAAAAAGGCAGAATTCCAGGTAAGAAAATTGTATATGGCATTTGCCATTACACATATTTAATTTAAATTTCTGTTAACACTAGAACCGCCAACAGCATCAGCACCTACATAGATATCATTTTCAAATAATTAAATTTGTTCCTCTTCATAATTTCCTTATAAACTAAATAGGACGATTTAAAACTCACTTAATGGGGCTCATTTAGAAATGGCTTCAGTTTATCATCATAACAGATCAAAAAGTTCAGATTCATTTTACAATAAATCAAGGAATGATGCACTTCTACAAACAAAAACAACATAATTAAAACATTTAAACAAACTACTAAAAGTAGATGAACTACATTATTCAAAAGTTTCCAGTAACTTCTGATAATAACACGGGAAATAAACGAGGCATCTCTTTTCCTCTCTCTCTCCTGACAGCCCGTCAGTATCAGGGTTAGTCAAAAATGAATCCCTTGGCGGTTCTAGTGTTCATTTAACGTTTTGTCTTCTCTTTGCTTAATCGATTTTTGAAACCAAGTCTAACATAGCTTAAACTTAACGTTAGCTTCTAGCTAACACAACACATGCACGCACCTTTCGTTTTTTTTGTAGTGGTGGTCGTGTCACTGATCTTTATGCTGCAGACCCTGCATACCGCTGTTCTCTTCTTATTACCGTCATCGACAACATAATCCTTGAATCCAAACTTCACTATTTTTGGAATAACGCTAGCCGCTGCCATGTTAACTGAGACTCCTGCCTTCTAGTGGGTTGCAAAGTTTGCGCGTATGGCGCTATAATCACGTTTTTGGAAAAAACGAAACGTAATATCTCACTACAAAAACAAACGCAAATATTTAATTTTAAACAGTCAAGTCCTTTCAAGTCATATATCTCAAGCTTAAGTCAAGTCTCGAGTCATGAATACCAAGTCAAAGTCAAGTCAAGTCTTTTAAGAATGTTAGTCAAGCAAGTCTCAAGTCCAAAAATATGCGACTCGAGT